CGATTTTGGACGATTAAAACAGATTTCAAAGAGAAAGGGAGGGGTCAGTGAAGAGCACCGGAGTTGAGTCTTTTCTCATCCAGTAGAAAAATGAAAACGAGGTAGATAATTTTCATTTATCATGTGATTAATTTATTTCTTGTTTATCGTGACAAGCCTAGCTGAAGCTTGCAAGTTTTGTGCTAATATTGTTTTAACAGTTTTTGCATTACTCAATTTATAACTGTCTAAATAAAGGTTGAATGAATGAATAACAGATGTTATAAAAGTCTATGAAACACTGTTGGCATGAACCACTAAGATTTTTTTTAAAACTCTAGCCAGTTTTAAATGGTAGCAATAGCACCACTTTGTTCTTGGCTAACATTTGGGCATCAGTCCTGTCTGGCTTAAACTCTTATTTCACCAAGCTGAGGATGCTCATGGGAGTTATCTACAACAGGTAAGATATTAATTGTTCAACACCTCCAGAGAACCCCACTTAAAAAAAAATATGAACATTCTCTTCAAATAACTTTTCAGCTCAGTCTTTTCCAAACAGATAAAATTACATGTAAATACTGGAGCAGTCATCCATCGGTCTGAACGAACAGTGTTCTGCAGACATTTGAATACAGTGTAGAGGTGTAAGGTAAGTTTTGCAGTCTTGCTGTGGTGCTCCCAGTCGAACTTCGCTCCGGAGGGCAAAGTACGCCCCTTACATCAGAGGTTAAGTCAGAACAAACTGAAATGTGCAGAAGTGTACACGCAGCTGAAGCTGAACGTGCCAGTCAGACTTGGTGTTTGGCCCTGAACATGTGCGTTACCCACTAAGAGTTCATTTCCTCGTTACTCCTCGTCTGGCTGACCTGCCCTTCTTCTCCCACTGGCAAATGGCGTTAGCGTACTCCACGATGGCCTTGTCCATCCAAGTGAGGGGCTGCGGGAAAAGCACGTCTCCTTCAAAGAAGCCCATGTGTCCTCCGTGCTGGGTCAGGACAAACATTACGTTGGACATCTTATCTAAGAAAGTACAACAGACAAAAAGGTGATTTCAATGAACAAATAACTTTTGGACCATCCCAACAAACGTCATTTTAAATTTACAGGTGTCACATCATGCTTTTCCTTTTTAATAAATTAAAATATGACCCGAAAAGGGAAGAAGCAGGTAAAGATGATGGATGGATGATTGAAATTTTAAAAAGTGAAAGTCATCTATAGATTCAATTCACACAATGATTACATGCAGTTATTACACCATTTATATTGTTATATTACAGATCTTATTGTTCCATATTTTCCCAACAGAGCACTTCACTCTCAGACTGCAGGTTTACTTGTGGTTCCTAGTTTCCAAATGTAGAATGTGAGGAAGATCTTTCAGTTATCAGGCTCCTCTCTTGTGGAACCAGTTTCTGTCCATGAGGCTGACACATTGTCCAGTTTTAAGACTTTTCTTTTTGATAAATCCTATAGTTAGGGTTTGCTTGGGTTTCCTGAGATATCCCTTAGTTATGCTATATGCTTAGACTGCTGGAGGACAAACTAAATTTCCTCACTCTGCTGATGTCTTTACTTGCTCTACTCTTCCTGTTTGTATTTGTAATTATTTTTATCTTAATGAGTTTTCTGTCTTTCCTCCTATAGAAGGTTCACCTGGACCTGTCCTTCTGAGTTTGTCTCTCCTTCCTGTCCTCTCAAACCCAACCAGTCGAAGCAGATGGCCGCTCGTCCTGAGCCTGGTTCTGCTGGAGGTTTCTTCCTGTTAAAATGGAGTTTTTCCTTCCCACTGTCTCCTTTGAGCTCGCTCAGGATGGGCGACTGTGACGAAGTGAAGATTCAGCACAATCTGCTGCTTCCTATAGATAAACTTTTACTAACTGGATTTTAAAATGCACGTGAATGTTTTTGCTCGGTGACCTGTGAGAACTGTTTCCCCCACTAAGCAGAACACTCCTATAGTGGACCAACCAGTCCACAGCATCATCATACAGTCACAAAACTTGTGCTCTGCATTTGACCCATCACACGAGATGCACCCAAGCGAAGCAGCGGGCAGCTATTTAAATGCACAGGGAGCCGTTGAGGAGCAGATGTCCTGCTCAGGACATCGCAACATATAGATAGGCATGGTGGGGAATAGAACCTGCACCTTTCTGGTCCCAAGTCAGCTGCCTTACCACTGTGCCCCAGCAAAAACCTGGACACTTTTTGAATGAACGGTTTGGTGATGATTTGAACAAAGAGGCAGAACCTATAGCACCACGGTGGCCACAGAGCAGCAGAAACAAGGTAAGCATACAGTACCTGCTGGACAGGGACGCTTCATGTTTTGGGTTTTGCACGACTGCCTTGCTCACAGTCCCCAGACGATGTACTGTTTGACCTTCACTGCCTCACTTTGTTTTCTTGATACGCATGTCTAACCACCTCATTAAAGTTGCCACGATCTTACTCTTGTGACAATAAATAATTCAGTTTACCTTATTTCAGCACGGAAGTACTGCTTCAAGTGCTCGGTGAGGTCAGCGGTCAAGGCAGTCTGTTTTTGCACCATCATCATCTTCACCTCTGTTATTCTACACCATTTTCACTCCCATCGCCTGCCAAACACACCTTTCCTCAGCTCTGCTCTCACAGTTTGCAGAATAAGTATTATTGTTCCAGACGTACAAAATCAACTCCCTAAAATCCAGAGAAGTTAAATCTGTGTGGTGCTCCATTTTTGTTTACGTGTTAACACATTTTCAGTAACATCAGTAAGCACAGGCCACGAATTTCAACGTAACTTTCACTAAGTGGTCATTTCAATAAACTAATGACTCGATACAAGACGGCAAATGGAAGCCATGAGTACCCCCCCCCCCCACACACACATGGTGTTATATTTATATATAATCCAGTAGCTGAGGATCACATGGCCCTAAAAAATTCAACAAGACCGTCTGAGCTGAGCGGCGTTGAGCAGAGAGCTGCACCAAGACTTCATCAACACTTAAGACTGTTGAGTCCAGAGGAAGACCTCAGTCTGTTGTGAGTAATGGACTGTAAATATTAATTTTAATTTTCACAAATGAAGCTACTGTTTTACAATAAGAATGAAACACATCTGAAAGTATCCAATCAGAGCTCTGTGGTATCATACGAGTATTATTCTAATCAAGTGATACGAGGATATTCAAGTATTTACACACATTAACTGTTGTGACCATCTTAAACTGTATTGACCCCATTATTATAAATATTACCCCAAATATTATATTTGGTCTTTTATTTATAAAAGTAAAGTTTGTGAACCTCTAGGATTATCAGTTCATTTGAAGGTGAAATTGGAGTCAGGTGTTTTCAATCAATGGGATGACGATCAGGTGTGAGTGGACTCCCAGTTTGATTTAAAGAACAGGATCTATCAGCGTCTGCTCTTCACAACATGTTTGTGGAAGTGGATCATGGCAGGAACAAAGGAGGTTTCTGATGAGCTCAGAAAAAGAGTTGATGTTCATCAGGCTAGAAAAGGTTACAAAACATCTGTAAAGAGTTTGGACTCCACCAATCCACAGTCAGACAGATGCTGCACAAATAGAGGGAATTCAAGACCATTGTTACCAGGAGTGGTGGACCAACAAAGATCACTCCAAGAGCAAGAAGGTGTGGAATAGTGGGCGAGGTCACAAAGGACCCCGGGGTAACTTCTAACAAATGAAGGTCTCTCTCTGAACAACAATGGTGTGCATGGCAGGGTTGAAGGAGGAAGACACTGCTCTCCAACAAGAACATTGCTCTCGTCTGCAGTTTGCTAAAGATCACGTGGACAAACCAGAAGAATGTTGGAAGAATGTTTTGTGGACAGATGAGACCAAAATAGAACTTCTTGTTTTAAATGAAAAGTGTTATGTTTGGAGAAAGGACAACACTGCATCCGAGCTTCAGATCACATTCAGGCACTGATGGGACACACATCAGAGGCAATGGGGGGGTTCAGTGTCTTGCTCAGGGACACTTCAACATGTGACTGCTGGTAGGAGTTGAACCCCCAGCTCTCCCACTGGAGGACGACTGCTCCAACCACTCAGCCACAGCCGCCTCAAAACTTTCCAACAAACTTTCTAGCAGCGCTGTGTATTTTTATAACACAAGACAGATGTTGATGAACAGTAGATTATTTCATTCAAGCTGCAAATCTAAAAAAAAGCCACAAACCAGTGCTTTGCATCATTATTGTCTTCTCTTAACATATTTATCGTTTTATTTAAAAATTATTATTACTTTGGAGATGAAGCTCTTTTTTATTGTTTCTTTGTTCACCGTTCGCTACAACTCAAACAAGGCTAATATTTAGAAAATGTACTCTTTATTAACAAATTAAATGCAATGCCAGTTTCTTTCAAACTACTTTTGGTAGGTGTTGCATAGGTTTTGGTTATTTTCAGCCTTTTGTGTTCAAACATGACGAGCACCTTGTACTGGAGTGTTTCCATCACATACAGATCTTCTTGCCTTGACTTGAAAGATGTAAAATTCTGTCTTACAACCGACAGTTTAAATACTCCAAATAACCTGAAACACACTTTACAAAGCATGTTTATTTTCAGATTTCAGGATTTAGATTGGAAAATAAATCCAGTAAAATATTTGAACTCTACTCCACATATAACCAGACCTGTAAAGTCCTAAAATCAAACTTCTTACTCGATTAAGCGTATAACGAAGCACAAACCTGCAAGTCTGCGTGGAATATCCAGAAGAGCCTGATGAACAAGTGGATCATCTAAAGAGTTTACCAGGAGGAGAGGGACAGACACCTGCAGAGAAAACTCGTGTTCAGTTTGTTTGTGGACTTCTTTAGAAGGCTCTGCTTGTACACATCTAAGTTTAGTAATACAGTAGTCCTTCGCTACTTCGTGGGTTGTTTTTCATGGACTCGTTCTATTGCAATTGTTTAAGTACCGTACATGTACATAACATTTAATTTTTTTTTAAGTGCCGCCATTTTGTAGTTTTCTTTCATTAAGCCTTCACTGTTTTGCCAGTCTAAAGAACTACGTTACCCAGAAGCCATCGGTTCACTTCCCAGAAGTCAACACTGCTCTTTCAACCACTGCTTTCTGCAAATGGAGGGAAAGTTTTGCAGCAAAGTCAGAAGTTCTGTAAGTTCTGTTGCTCACAGAACTGGCAGGAAAGTCACAAATAATCCTGAATCTGAACTCATCCTTCAAGTTGTATCATCACTGCCGAAGAGCTGATCCAGAATCAGTGTGACCCGGATCCTGGAGCTGCAGGCGACAGATGGCTGTGGGCTGTGGGGTTCAGTCAGGTTCTGGTCGCGTGGTGCTGGTCCGGACCGGGCCAGAGGTGGTGGACTAAATCCTGGGCAGCAGCACGCGCACATCAAGCTGGAAGGAGCGGTGGGCTTCCGTCATACTGTACCGGGACTTTTTTTCATCTATCGGGTCGGACCAGAACCGAGCCGCTCCTGTTCTGCAGAGCCTGGTAAGTAAAATTTTGTAGCTCCTGTACAGATAAGTACTGTACGTTGTTAAAATTAGTAGGTTTAAGAGTTCAGAGGACTGACTGTGGGCTTCATCGCTGCAAGATAAGTCTGCAAAAATGAACCGAGTCAGAATAAAATAGAGTTGGACCGGAACCAGAACAGTTGTTGTTCTGCAGAGCTAGTAATTTAGTAACATACAGTATGTTGTTAAAATCAAGTAGGTTTAAGCGTTTAGAACATTTCAAGAGTGCGGGAAGGGTTTCTAAAGCCTTAATATAAAGTTTAGAAGTTAAACCACTGAATCCGGTGTGTTGGAGCAGGAAACAACTAAAACATGCAGGATGGTGTTCCTCAAGGACCAGGGTTGGGAACCGCTGAGCTTGATGACAAAAAGGAACCCTAACTACAGTATGCTGAACTTGTCTCAGAGCCAGCTCCTCTGGCCCATGAGTCAAATGGTAGCAGTAAACAAACATTTCCATGATAAGTGTTTACAATAAAGCCAGCACATGCCTTTAACAATAAATGAGTCGGAAATATTTGACTCACGTTGTGAATGTAGTGCACGCAGCTCTCTTTCTCATAGAACTCCCTCAAGGTGCTATAGCCGTGAAATTTCCTGCAATGAAAATCATGTGGCATCAGTTAGAGAGTTTTTGGAGCAGACTGTTTCAACTCAAACTTAAAATTCATCAGTACTTCACCTCATTATGCTGTCGTCGATCTGCTCCAGAGACGTGGCTGCACACAGTTTGTTAAAGTCTGCGTCATCAATGCTGCTGGACGCCAAGCCCAACAAACTGCTTCTGTTAAACAGTGCAGACACCTGTTAGGGCTGAAAAGCTCAGTATGCCTTTGTTTCTACTTTTTATGATAAATGAGACAACATTTGAAATGACAGCACTTAATTATTCCAGAATAAGCTGATTGGAAATAGTTTTTTTTGTCCCTTGTAGGTGCAGAAATTCAACAAATTTATTTGATATAATATCAAAAGTAGAGAAACATATAAACACATCCGGAAAGAAGCGAGATCAAAGTCTGATGCTTTAGGACCTAAAGGAAGCACTGCAGTTTTATGTTTTTAAGAATTTAAGCTGCCATAAAAATAGATTAATTATACATCTATAAATGTGAATATTAAATTTACATGTTGGTTCTACCTATGTGATAGAATGAGCCTCTTCATTTTGGCTGCCAGTGCAAAGTTGTAAAGCCGTCGACACTGGTCCCACTGAAGGAATGTTTCCTGGGCACTAAAAACACAGAAACACACGATGCAAACTTCAAACTATAAAACAGTAAAACAGGAGCCAAATAAATGAAACATATTCATCTTGTCGTAGTTTGAAAAACGTTTTAAGATAGCCAATACCGGTGATGGTTACAGTATTTAGGAAGTAAAAAGCAACGTTCCCGACCACAAGTTGACTAACCTGAGCGCGCAGTATCCCTGGCAGACGCTAACACAGCACAGCACTCGGTCCTGGTTGGATCTCTTTTCTCCGAGGAACTTACAGACAATGTTTCCTCCCAGACTGAAGCCCACCACCACCAGCAGAGTCTGGGGGAAAGCTCGTTTGATGTAGTCCACCATGGCCCCAAACTCCCAAGTGCAACCTGACGACAAGAAACATGCTTTTCAAAACACAAACTGGACGGGATGATTAACTTATTCTTTTAGATTTTCCCTCTTCAGGGGTCTCCACAGTGAGTCCTCCTCCATCTCACTCTGTCCTCATTCCAACTACCTCCATGTCCTCTCTAACTGCATCCATATGTCTCCTCTTTGTCCTGCAGCTGCATCTCTAACATCCTTCTACCAATATACCCACTGTCCCTCCTCTGGACATGTCCAAACCACTGTCCCTCCTCTGGACATGTCCAAACCATCTCAGTCTGGCCTCTCTAACTTTCTCTCCCAGTTGTTCAGCCTGTGCTGTACTGATGATCTCATTCACGTCTTATCCATCCAGTGTTTCCCCCACAGCGCCCTGCCCTGTCAACAGAACTGAGTGCCCGGCCGACAGTTCCACCACTTCCAGACGGGGAGCAGAGATTTTAGCAACAGACTAAGCAGTTTAGACCAATTAGTATTGCATTAGTACCATAACAATCTGCTACCCACATACTAACATAGCACTACCCAAACCCCCACTCCCTGTGACAACCCCCAGCATCAGAGCGCCCCACTACAGCCCGGTCAAGGTAAGTAGTCTAGGTGAAACAGTGACATCCTTGTCTCTCCTAAGGAGAACCTCAACATCTTCATTTCTGCCACTTCCAGTTCTGTCTCCTGTCTTTTTGTCCACGTCTCTGTCTCCAGACCATACAACACAGCTGGTCTCACCACTGTCTTGTAAACTTTTCCTTCGACCTTTGCTGCTACACTTTTGTCATAAATCACTTCTTTTCACCATTGTATGGAAACATACAGTGATGACATTATTATTATTATTAAGTGTTTCTCCATCCTGCCTGGACTCTCTCCATCACACTTGCTGTTTTCCTGGACAGTTGACCTTACATACTTGAAGTCCTGCACCTTTGTGACCTCTGCTCCTCGTAGCCTCACTGTTCCACCGGCCTCCCTTCCATTCACACACATGTACTCTGTCTTACTACGATTAGACTTTCTATGTACACTAATTATCTAAAGTCAAAATGTCTCTTTTGTCTACTCTGTTGGTCTTGAGTAATCTGTTAAATATAACCAGTTTTAGCCAAATTGAAAAGGAAAGGTTGTATTTTTTGTTTACCATAGGTGAACATGCGCGGCGAGGTGAGCTCCACGTTAGGCAAAGCTCCCAGGTGATTAAGGACGGCACAGCGGTAACCATGCCGCTGGGAGTAATCCACAAAGGTCCGAATGTAGTTCTGCTCGCTATGGTTACCAATCCCAGGGCAGATTACCATGGTAATGTCATCTGACACAGAAGGAAAAGAAAGTCAAACACAAACTAAAGTCATGAGTGCTGGTAAAAAAGTGAATATTTTGTGTGACGGTTGCTGTAATGCATGGTTTCCCTCCAGAGAGTTGTTCTTGCTTGTGCATTCTTCAGAGTTAATATGAGCCAAACAAGCACATGAAAACTCCGGAGAAATGACATGAAAATACAAACAATGCAGGAAAATCTTTTTATGAGCTTTTATATTAGGATGTAAAATGGCACAATTAAGCCCAGAAACCGACAATCACGACCTCTAACCTGCTGTGCTGTGCTCTCCGAGAGCTTCAAAGAGGTCAAAGCTTGCTGTGGCTCCGTCCTGCATTGGGAGGAATTTGCGAAGCCCGCAGGGTGTTGGAGTGTTGACACGCCCCATCTTGCCATACAGAATAGTCTGGAGATGACCACTCTTCCCCCACAGCAGAGGAGGAACGTATCTAAAAAAAGGCACAACAGCTCACCTGTGACCAGTGTTTTAGCAAAGAGTCCTAGCCAAAATTATTTGCAGACAGAAAGACAGATTGCTCAAATCACTGGACGTTTCCATCTCCTTATCGACAACTCTGCCAGATAACATGCATTTTTTTGCGGAGACGTTTCGTCCTTCATCCAAGGGACTTCATCAGTCCAACGAGCCACAAACAAACGGAGTCCCACAAACATCACACTCCATAGTGGAAAAAAAAAACAGTTTGCTGGTGATAGTTTCTGAGGCCCACCCTCTCCCCCGTCAACTCCTCTGAGGCAGCCATGCCAAAGTGGTTCAAAACATCAAAGTTCATGCTCAATAATCCAGGTACAGATTCAACAATGTTCAGTCAGGTCATCTGGATGGTTTCTTTTTTTGCTGAGACGTTTCGTCCTTCATCCAAAGGACTTCATCAGTTGGATTATGTTGGATTATGTTCATTATGTTGGATATGCTTTGTTGTTTTTGAGAGGACTGGAATGCAGACAGACCAGTGTGGCAACTGGACTCTTCTACTACCAAACCATGCTGTTGGAATGAACGCAGTTTGTGGTTTAACATTGTCTTCCTGAAACACCTGCCCTGGAAAAGTTTTTAGTTATTTATTTATTTAATAGGAGCATGTGTTGTTCAGGGCAGCACGGTGGCGCAACTGGTAGAGCTGCTGCCTCTCAGCGAGCAGGTCCTTGGCTCAAACCCCGGTCCAGGGGCCTTTCTGGGTGGAGTTTGCATGTTCTCTCCGTGCATGCGTGGGTTTTCTCCAGGTACTCCGGTTTCCTCCCACAGACCAAAAACATGCATGTTAGGCTGATTGGTAACTCTAAATTGTCCCTAGGTGTGAGTGAGAGAGTGAATGGTTGTTTGTCTCGTTTGTCTCCATGTGTCCCTGTGATGGACTTGCGACCCGTCCAGGGTGTACCCCGCCCCTCGCACAGTGATTGCTGGACATGGGCACCAGCGACCCCCGTGACCCAAAATGGAATAAACGGGTAAAGATGATGGATGGATGGATGTGTTGTTCACAAACCTGTGTATACTTCTTTGCATTGATGCTGCATTTCCAGATGTGTAAGCTGTCCATGCACCTCATACCTCCTACCAGCTGCAGGTTGTTGAACGGTTTGATGATAAAAGACTCGCAGCCAGTTCCTCTCTTCTTCTAACAGAAGACATGACGTCCTCCTCTGTTTTAGAACTTCAGACTCTGATTCGTCTGACTACAGAACAGTTTCCCACTTTGTCTCAACTCATTTTAGGGAGAAAACGGAGGCGTTTCCGAATGGCACACAGCTTCTTCTTTACACGATAGAGCTTTAACCAGGATACGAGGATTTCAAGCCATTTGTGTTTGCAGACACTTAGTGGAGGCGTTCCTGAGCACACAGAGATCAGGAGCATCCAGAACTGACTTTCAGCTGTAGATTCTTAAAAACACTTGCTGATGTTATGAACTGCAGATGATGGGATATTCAGTTTAACCAATTTTTCACTCAGGAACTTTATTTTTAATTGCTCCACTATTTTAGATGTTTTTTGTTTTTTACAGTTACCTCTTGAGAAATTCTGAATTTAAAAAAATGCTCTTTTTATCCCATTCTGTTACTGACCTGTTGCCAATTAACCTAAATAGTTGCAAAATGCTTCTCCAGATGTTTCTTATTAGCACCACTTACTCTTGCAACCTTTTGTTGCCCTAGTCATGTTTTTATTAGATGTGTTGCTGCCACCAGTTTAAAAATTACTTTCCCCCCCATAAAATTGTCTAATTTAACATTTGATGTTTATTCCACTGTGAATAAAATATGGATTTGTGAAATTTGTAAATTGTTGCGTTCTGTTTATATTTTATACAACATCTCAACCTTTTTGGAATTGGGGTTGGAGTATTTAAACAGTAATCCAAGCACCTTTAAGTGCATCTATAAAAAATGGAATATTGTGGAAAAAGTCCATTTTTTGTCAATCGTGTCAGAAAGTGCAACTCATATATTGCACAGTCATCGCACACAGAGTGAAATATTTCAAGCCTTTATGTCTTGTCATTTTGATGATTATGACACACAAAAAAATTAAATTCAGTGTTTCAGAAAATGAGAATATTGTGAAGATGTTCATTATTTTAAACTCCTGGTGTCACACCCTCACAGATGATTAACTTCTAAACATGAGCTACAAATGTCTCATTACTCATCAGAAGTGTCTTACCTGCTGAGGGCACAAAGAACAGGACCTCAGTGGTCCAATGTCCTCTTTTCAGATGAAAGTAAATGTTCATGTCATTTGGAAATCAAGGTCCCAGAGTCTGGAGGAAGAGTGGAGAGAATCCATGGGTTTTTTTTAAAGTCCAGTGTGAAGTTTCCAGTCATTGATGGCTCGGATGCATGAACGCTGCCTGTGTTGGTCCACTGTGGTTTCTGAAGTCCACAGTCAACGCAGGACATTTTAGAGCACTTCACGCTTCCTTCTGCTGATGAGCTTTATGGAGATGTTGATTTCATTCATCTCGGCTCCTGACCACACTGACAAAGGTCCCAAAAGCTGACTGTGGAATAGTCTAATTATCTGAGACACTGAGTTTTGGTTTTTCATCATTTGTAGGCAAGAATCATCAAAATTACAAAAAATAAAGGCTTGAAATATTTCACTCTATGTGTAACGAATCTATACAATTTGATATAACAAAGTTAAGTCAGGTCCTCTGGATGGATTCATCTTGCTGAACTGTTTCGCCTTTCATCCAAAAGACTTCTTCAGTAAATGGTAAATGGACTGTAATTATATAGCGCCTTTCTATCTTACTTCAAGACACTCAAAGCTCTTTACAACAATCTGTGCCTCATTTACCCATTCATACAGCTCTATACTAGATCTCTACAAAGCTAATTGAACAAATCATTCTAAAGAGAATAATCAGAGCTTTAGATCACATTCATGCACTGATGGGACACACATCGGAGGCTATGAGGGGTTCAGTGTCTTGCCCAGGGACACTTCAGCATGTGACTGCTGGTGGATTCGAACCCCCAACTCTCATATTGGAGGACGACTGCTCTAACCACTCAGCCCCAGCCTGAGGAGCGCCAACAAACTCAGCTTTATAAGCAGCACCTTCTCATAGTGGATCAACCAGTTTACTGGTGACAGCCAAAACTAGTTGTTCACATGACAAAGGAGGACCATCAGCCTAACAATTGGGGGTGCACCGATTGCAGTTTTCTGGCCGATCACCAGTTTCTAAAAAGTCTGACCTGCCGGTTCCGATTTTGGCCGATACCGATTTTGTTTTATAAGTGACACTGTCAGGTGTTATAAGGTGCAACCTTCAATTTTGTTGAAAAACAAACCCTTGAACCATATCCTAGAAACAATACAAAGTTGTTTAACTGGCCATGAGGTAGTGCTCTGAAATATGAAGTTCAGACAAATGTTAAAACTAAAAAAATCGATAAAATCGGTTTCTCGTGCAAGTATCGGCCGATTTCTCAAAATTAAGGAAATGAGGGCCGATAAATCGGTGCACCCCACTAACAATTGATTGTTAGTGTCCTGATGGCCAATTACTATTCACAGAGGACTGATAACAGAATTGTAAGAGGGGGATAGTTGAACATGGAGGCCTTACTTATGTTTTCTTACTTTTTATGTATATGAATGTTTCTGTACAGCGCCCCGAGAGGACTTCTGTTGTGACTTGGTGCTATTTAAATAAACTGAACTGAATTGCCCGTTTAATGATGAATCTCAGGTGGTTCCTCTAGTCTTTTGGAGAAAAGACAAAACGTTTCAAGAAGCAGAATCCATCCACAGGACCTGACTTAACTTTGTTAGATTTTTCTTCATGGAATATTGAATGGATCAGGACTATACAATTTGTTTCACTTCTGAAATGACTGACAAAAAAAAAAAAAAAAAAAAAGGAACTTTTTCACGAGATCTAAGCCGCACATCCACATGGGCATTCCCCTTAACAATGTCGCTTCCAGATTTTACTACAATACAAATCTAACTGGTTTGTATGACATTTGAAGTCAAAATTATTAGAAAAGCCCATATTTAAGCTCCATTTTAACAGTACAAACCGCTCCACGTCTTTCAAACGCAGACCAGTCACATATAACTCACTCTTTGGTCAGCATGGGGCAGGACTTGAGCAGGTAGCGACTGAGCGGCGAGTCCTGGAAGCTGATCCCCGGTGGAGCTGTGGAACTCTTTAGGTTTAACCAGCGGACGACGATGTAGAGGACCGCAGCCACCGCAGCCAACTTCATGCCGTCAAACATGGCTGGCAGCTCGGTGCCGAAGGCGTGCAAGTCAACGCTCTCGACGACACACATCGTTTGGTTTTTCAGAAGAGCTGCTGTGTGCACAGAAAGTGACAAAAGTGAGACGTTTAAAAAAAGCCGGACTTTTATTATTGTGCTTGTAGAAAATTTCCGTTCCCTTCCTTCCACCCCCACATCGTTCAGCACTTACATCACTGTGACGTCAACTTCCCTCAACTTTTCCACCTCACCTATCAACACACGACCGAACTTTCCAGAACTGAAGTCTTACAAGGGCAGGCGCCGAGGACCCCCAGGTTTAAAGGGCCCCAATGTAGGGTTTGTGTCCCGTCTTTTCTGTTTCCTCAAGTTTCATTCAGCCCTCAGCGTTCCTCCTCCTCGTGTTCAGCTCTTGTCTCACCTGTGCTCACTGTTAATCACAGGTGCCTGTCATTTCACCCTCGTTAGTGCCTGCATATATTCAGCTCCCTTGTGCCTCGTCAGTTGTCTCTGGACTGTCCTTGATGGCTGATGTGATCTGTCTCCCTCTGTGTTCTCCATGAAGTAAGTTAGCTGCCCTGTCAGCATTTTGATTTGTTTATTTAGAAAATAAACTCCGTTACTTATTTTACCTGGAGTCTCTGTTGCCTTCCTGCATGTGGGTTCATCAACACTATTAGCCAGATTATGATACCCAAAGTAGGGATGCGCAATATTGGATTTTTGGCCAACAACCGATATGCCAATATGTTAAAACTTACTTGGCCGATTAACCGATATCTATACCGATATTTCCCCCTCCAGACCTACTTACAGAGACTACATAGCTTTCTCTGCTGTGGAATTAAAATACTACATTATTCTTCATGGTCTTTGTCAGTTTGGCTGCTACCAAATGCAGATGCCTAAAAGGGGCTGAAAATGATGCAACACTTTAACTTGGATTATGTTTAATGTCAAATTTATTCATGACATTTACTCTCACTAACACAATGACAACACTTGAA